TCGAGATAGCTTTGGCAATAGCCTCACCGGTGTGGGCGCCAGCGAGCTCAGGCAGATCGATTGGTAAGTCTCGTATTATTCCAGCTGCGTCGGCAAAGTGAGCGACTACTCCAAAGAAGCCACGTTTACCACCCTTTGTTGTCCAGCCATCAAAGCTTACGTGTATTTTGCTTACTGAGCCTGACAGGGTGTCGATAACTTGCGGTCGTATAGACCGGAACAACCTCATCACAAAGGTAGAAACGCTGGTATTACTTACCCACAACGCTGCCTCTGCCTCTGGGTTGGCAAATCTCATCATCTCTCTAAAATCAGGCGTCGTAAGTTCGCTGAGCGGGTGGTTTCGGTTAACAAGCCACATGACAGTGGCTGTTCGAAAGCCCTCTACGTCGAAGTTTCCAAACGCGTTAGCAGTGTTTTGTTGTACGTCTAAACCAGCGTCAAAAGCTTGCCGCAACGACAGCTGGCCTCGAGCTCTCTGCGCTAACTTTGGGCCATCTTTCGTAAGGTTGTGGCCAGGCTTTGGTTGGCTGAGATGGGTGGCTGCTGAGGTTGTAGCCTGAGTAATGTTAAACAAACCACCACGGCCAGCGTCGATAGTTTTGTGTACATGGCAGTACTTGCACACAAACCAGATTCGAGATGTAGCATGGCGCTCAACAACGCGGTAGCCATACTGAAAGATCCAACTTTTTGGGCGCTTAGAACGCGCCAATGGCTTGATAAAATCAGGTAAACGTGCCCAGTCAATGCCGTCAAAGTTCTCAACTAGTGCGCTGTTTGTCTCATCCTGACCACCCTCTCCAGCCTCAGTTGTAGCCACCGTGCCAGCTCGGCTGCCCTCGGTGGGCGCGACAATCTCAGCCTCCGCCTGCGACTCTAAGAACTGCAACTCGAAGGTAGGTATTGGCGGCGAGGCGTTAGCCTGGCTTGCGGCAGCTAGGGTTTTGCGAGGTGATCGACGCTGAGGTCTAGGCTTAGATGCAGGCTTAGATGCAGGCTCAGGTGAAGCCTCAGGAGTTGAGGCGACGTTGTTGGTGGCAGCGGCTACTTTCGTACGTTTGCTCCGAGCAGAAGTTTGTGGTAGGCGACGTTTGGCCATATTGGGGGTATCAGGGCAGTATAAATCACTGGAAAACGCGTTGCTATAGGGGATACTGCATTGCGATAGGCTTCTAGACAGGCGTACGTCGAGATTGGAGCAATGCGCTAGACTAAGGCTAACGTTATTTGATAGCCGCTTAGCCTGTTTGGGACTCAACCGAGGCAACTGCAACACTTCAAAACCATCGCGACATCTACCGTACAGCAGTTTTAGCACCCTCATCACAGTAACGCTAAAACAACCAAGTAAACCAAGTAAGCCAAGCAAGCAAAGTATCTTGACTTGACTTGCTTGCTTAGCTGCCCAGCTCTTACTTGACTTGCTTGCTTGGTTTAAACCAAGCAAGTCAAGCAAGTAATCCAAGTCAACTTGCTTTTTGGAAAGTCTGCCTAAGATCATCATAACAACAAGTAGATAGAACAATAGCTCTTAGTGAAGTTCAATCCAATACAGGGTTACCTTTCGTACCTCTACTCGGTCGCCTATGGTAGTCATACCACCTGTCAGATATAATGAGATATTGCACAAAAGTGATGGATGTTGATGATTGTGTGTATTGTGTTCTGTCTATCGTGTGTCCGCGCTTGTGGCCCTCTTGAGGGGCGCACTGACCCTCTCTACGCTGATTGGTTGCTGCCAACGTCGAGTAACCCTGCTATCTGACACACCCCCTCAGCTTGGAAGCCCTGATTGCAAGCTGCGTAAACTGGTTAATCGATCCTACATATAGAGGCCTTCCAGATGCTCCTGCAACTTCTCAAGCTCAGCTTCTTTCAACGGGGGTTCTTTGCGTTTAACAAGTCCCAACTGATCAAGGAAACTGGCCCATTTATTGGCTGGCAGTGACTTGGTGAATCCGTCTGCGATCATGTTGTCAGACGGAACATACTCTACCTTGATCGTCTTTCGGGTAACTTCTTGTCGTAGCCAATGATTGTGTATGTCAACGTGCCGAAGCTTTGTTTGCAATTTGGCAACGTCTTCATTTACTAGACGGATTGTCTGGGTATTGTCGCACTTGATTGTGATAATTGGATTGCTTAGGTTTACCTGAAGCTCCTTCAACAACCGCGACGTAAAGATTGCCTCCTTAGCAACTTGTGATAGGGCAAGCAGCTCTGCTTCTGTTGTTGATGTTGTCACAGTATCTTGCTTACTTGCTCTCCAAGCGATGAGTCCTCCGAACAGCTTAATTGCGTATCCCTGCGAGCTTTTCCTGTCTAGTGTGTTGTCTGCAAACGATGCGTCACTTGCTACCTCAAGGCCATCGCCTCTACCGAGTTCGAGGGCTAGGGATTCTGTTTTCTTGAGGTACAGGAGCACACGGTCTGCAGCGTCCTGGTGTTCTGTACTTGGATTGACTAGGAAGCGAGCAAGTCGTGATGTTGCAAAGGCTATGTCGGGTCTTGTTGTGACTGCAGCGAATAGAAGCGAGCCAATCTTGCGCTGGTAGCGGTTGATCTCGGACGGCTCTGCTAGGTCACTCCTGGGTCTGAGTTCCATGCCTGACATCGGCGTGTCATGTCTGATGTCTTGTCGGCTTGCTAGTTGGCTGATTTTGTCTGCGTATGCGGCTTGAGATAGCTGTATGGTCTTCTGCTTGCGATTGCGCATGACCTCTACGCCGAGAAACCACTGTAAGTTATCTCCTCCCGTACAAGCGTATTTTTCTTGGATCCGGTTGATGGCCTTCATGGCCTCTGATTCTTGCTTTGAATGGTACGCAACGATGATGTCGTCCACATAGAAGAAGATGATAACTCCGTCTTTGATCATGCAGCATGGCTCCTGTGGTATTTGTTGAAACCCTATCGAAGCAAGAGTTGCAGTGAATTCTTTCTGCCACAGTAATGGTGAGATCCGGAGCCCATACAGTGCCTTTCGCACTTTGAGTAGAGTGCCAGGCTTCTGATACCCTTTTGGCATCCTCATGTATATTTCTCTGTCGATTGCAGCATGCACAAAAGCATTAGTGACGTCGTATTGCTTTAGCTCAAGATCGTATTTGGCGGCGATTGCCATGAGCATTCTGAATGAGCGTCCTGCCAATGTTGCTGCGTATGTGTCTTGGGAGGTGATGTTGCGTTGTTGGTCTCCTCTTACCACCAATCTTGCCTTACATTTGATGAGGCGGTGATGCTTGTCGAGTTTGTAGGTGTATACCCACATACAGTCTAGGATCTGGTGCCCTGCTCGTTTGACTGGTGATGCTTGGACCTCAGTCCATGACTTCATTTGTTGGTGACTCTGAAGGTGTGTCTTTTCTGCTTCCTTGAACATTTCGTATAGTGGATGGTCTTCCAGCTTTGAGTATGCTGTTGGGAGTGGCGGTAGCTAGTTGCGATGGGGCTTGATTCCCTTGGATAGCAGTCTCTTCACCTGAGCCTTGTCGATTGGCTTTCCTTCGTGTTGACCAATGTGTCCTGATTCGGTGCCGGCCATGAATGCGGCTGCCCATGGATTAGTCATTAATGTTGATTGGTTGGACATGTTCGTCATATCCTCGTTGTTCACCTCTCCTTGAACTAGCAAGGCCACAGGTGGAGGAGTTGGTGGCGGGGTTAGATATGCCTCTACCACCTTCCTTCCTTGGTGGTATCTGGTTTTCTGAGTGCGCGGGCTCTCTTCCTGCGTCGTATCGTCCTCGTAGAACGTCTCGGTTTCTGGTTGTTGGCTCTGAGTACCTAGGAGTTCGACTGTTCTTACCCAAGTTGCGATTTCCTCTAGGGTGTTGTGCATAAGATTGTCTTTGCCATGGATGGGATCCAGATGCGGTAGATGTTTGTTGACTAATATCCCACAAGATACCCAATCCAGGCTTTTGGGTCCAGCCGTTGCAGCCTTGACTTTCCTCGGTGGGTATCGTCTGTCATTGCAAAGGCTTTGCACCCATATGCTCTCAGATGAGCTTGGTTTGGTCTTCGGGGTCCGGTGACTATGCCATTTGTGGCAGCTGCGCGCGTGAAGAATATTTCGTAAGGCGATTTCCACTTGTTTGGATAATTTGGCGTTCGATTGTATAGGTATACCGCCGCTCTGGTTATCTCTGGCCAGAGTTCCCATGGAAGATTCGCATCTAGTCGAATTGCGCGTGCCTTTTCTTTTATCACACCCCCTGAGCGTTCGGCTCCTCCGTTCTGCGCTTGTGTGTCTGGAGCGGAAGGCTCGAGTCTGATTGATAGGGACGTGCACCATTTCTCGACTTCTTGCTTAACTGTGACGATCTCGTTGTCTGTTTCAATGACCTTGACCGTAATGTTGAACTGTTTCTTCATAAATTGGATAAAGAGGGCTAATAGGCGAATAATAGAGCGTGCTGGCCTATTGTCTTTGAAGTAGAAATCCCAAACGTATCGGGAGTTTCGGCAAGTTATTAGCATCTGACTCTTTTCCTTAGTGAAGCTGTCCGCCTCGTACTCATGGAAGTCGATTGCAATTCTTTCTCCAGGACCTTCGTTATTTAGTCTTAGCGCCCTTCTTATTTGGCGCTTCGACTTTGATCTGCCGCAAGCGTCACATTGTACTGTGGTGATTCCTTTGATCCTCACCCCCTCAGATTGCTGTATGAGGTGTTCAATAGCGGATGGCCCTGGATGTCCTAGTCGTTTATGCCATAGCATAGCTGTCGCCCTTTGTGGTGATCGCTTGGTTCGATTCATACGCACATGGAAGGCTGAGTCGAATAGAGTGGTGTCTTCGATAGTCCATTGCCCATGGCGTTCCGATAGGATAGCAATGATTGTTCTATCCCATCGTCGCAGGCTTGTTGGATCTTCCCGATTGTCCCACCATATTCCTTGTCGTCGGAGTAGCCTGAATGATACTAGGCTGCAGAGGAAGTCTGGACACCACGCAACGTTGACAATGTGCAAGGCTTGTTTGTCCTGAGATCCCTCTGTTGTCAATGTGACAGCTCCGTATCCTCGTATCCAGACTTTGGAGCTGCCGGCCCAGATGTAGTCCCCTGGCGTCGACGGGCGTACGTCTTCAATTCTTGAGAGGTCGTTGCAGATGTGCGTAGTCGAGCCGGAATCCAGGATGAAGGCATCCTTTAATGGATATCCTTGTTGGCTTGCGCTGAATGCCGCTTTCATCGTGCCCTCATCAATTCTTGAGATTTCGCGTCCATCTAGTCATTCAATGACTGCGTCCGGTGTTTGTGATGTCTTGATATGAGGTGTAATCGATCGTGACGTTGTCGAGAATCGAGGTCGTTTAGTCTCTGGGGACATTTCCTGCATCGTTCTCTGTAAGTTGGTGTCATTTTCAAGTTTGTACTGTACTAATCTTGCGATGCCTCGATTTGGCTTGAACCATTCAGGTGCCTTGGCTTTGTTCACATAGTAGCAGTCAGATATCTCATGACGCTGTTCACAGGCAGGACATATGTCTCCAGCTTTCGCTGAATTCCTCTCCGGGATCTGCTTGGTTCTGGTACTTTGACCATCCATCTTGCGTTTGTTTGATTGCCTAGGGTTTCCCCGGCCTTGGTTGGATGGCGCTCTTAATTCCACACTAGAGGCGTCCCTCAGTGTGTCCGAGTCGGGTTCACCGCTCGCCGCGTATGAGTCTTCTACCGCGAAGGCGCTCTTTGGCTTCCCTCTTGATGGATATTGAAGACTCATATATTCACGGAAGAGTTTCATCATCCTTTTCCTATTCATGGCTTTCTTATCGTACCCTGGCCCTTGGAACCCTGCGGTCCAGGTTGATGCTATTTTAGATACGGAGCCTAGGAAGTCGTCTATTACGGCTTGTGTTTGCATAACCTCGGCCACCTCAAGGGTTTCAGCTCGAGTTGCAGCCTGATCGTATTCATTTAGCCACGTCTCCCAGTTTGTGGTTGAACGCATTGGCTTGAGTGCGGCTTGGTATCTCTCTCGTGCTCGCGCTCTCTCCTCGTCTTCATCCACTCCAACTGTGTCTTGGAGGGCGGTTATCCAGTCGCGCGGCGTGCCGTTCTCGGCGCAGCAGCTAAGTTGTAAATGGGGTGTTACGGTTGTAAGGATGTGTTCGACCATCTTTGAGATTTTGTTGCTTTCTTCTTGATAGTCCCTCTCCCGTATTTTGTATGACTCAAGGCGCAGCTTGTAGTCGTCGCGATCCTCCTTATACGCTTCTTGTCCTTTCTCTGAGAGTTCTGACACTCGCGTTGGTATAGTGGGGATTCGTGAGGTTGTTGTCGACATTTCTGTAGTGTCTTGTGCTGATCCTCGCGTGTTGCCTCTAGCGTTTCGGGTGGTATGCGATGAGGCAGCTGAGGGGCTACTTGACGGTTCATACTGCGAAATGTCTGGGGGTAGCGGAGCCTCCGGTTGGATGCGCTGGAGTCGCACTCCTTCGGGGTCCAACAGTGGCCAAATGCCTTGCGACTGGCATTTCAGCTTAAGTTGGCGGTACCAAGGGATCCAGTTGCTTGAGTCGGTGAGGATGACCGTCGCGTCCCGTTGGGTCTGGATTGTTGCCATTTTCGTGGTTTTATCGCTCGTTATTGAGGCAGTGAGACTCTTAATTGTCAGATATAATGAGATATTGCACAAAAGTGATGGATGTTGATGATTGTGTGTATTGTGTTCTGTCTATCGTGTGTCCGCGCTTGTGGCCCTCTTGAGGGGCGCACTGACCCTCTCTACGCTGATTGGTTGCTGCCAACGTCGAGTAACCCTGCTATCTGACAAGAATAACTTCTAATTTGAACATTGTATAGATCTATACGTAATAAATAGCATATAAGAGTTTTAGCTAAAAGGATACTGTAGATAAAAAGTTATACTTAGATTTGTAGCTTACTTTTTTCTACTCTTAAACACTACTAGAGTTACTCAGACGTAAGCTTACTTAGCATCCTTTTTAGTAACCCATCTTAAAAAAAATGTTCTTAGCTTTCTAGAGAACTAAAATTTATTAGTCTAGCTAGTCTAGTTCTTTAGATATAGAGCTTAGAAAAAGGTAAATTTTAAAAAGTCTCTTTCTTTCTGTCACCCGACTGTATGTTTCTTGTTGGTCTGGGAAGTAAGATACGTGGTATGATATTGATGCTACATTTGGCAATAGTGGCAAGGAGCGTGGTAGTAGTTGGGTATCAAGATAACGCCTGGAGTTGTAGACAATAGTGCGGAATTACGGGCTTGTGTAAAGAGACCGCCTCCGAGCAGTTGCTTGTAGAGGAAATCATGGCGAAAACAAAAACAATAATCAGGCCGATAAGAAAAACACCGAAGTGAAGGAAGCGTGTAACGTGTAAGAGAACCATCCGTCTATTAGTTCATCCTGCATCATGGAGACATGGGTCGAATTGGTCGATTGTCCTCGCTTCTCGCCCAGCTCTCGAGTTCTTCTGGTGTTGGCTGCGAGACCGCTGTGCTGTCGCTCTGGATTGTCACGTCGCTTAATCCTCTTGTGTGCGATGGTCGTCGCTCCATTCCAGGCTCGTTCGTTTGCTCGACACCTTCAGGCTGTGCTTCTGGCTCCTCCGTGGTAACCGGCGCTGCTGGTTCCACCCCTGCTGCAGTCTTATCAGCACTACCCTCCGCCCCTGATGCTCCATTGTTCGCTAATACTTCGTCAATATTGCTATCACTAGGGCTTCGACTATGCGGAGGTCTTTGTGTAGCGTTCGGCGCATCCCCCTTTTTATCGGGAATTGATCGTATCGCGTCTTCTCCTGATAGTTCTGCAATGGGAGTTCGCGGAGTTTCGTTGCCGGATGGGTCTCCACGTTTCGCCGTCGCAAAGTAGTCCATAGTATCGCCGCTATGTGGCGGAGGACTGTAGAGTTCCGCTGGAGTACTATCAGGGGATAACTCATTAATAGGATGAACAGACTTGTGATTGGGCTCATAATAGCCAGGAATTGAGCTCTTTGGGGAGTAGGGAGCGTCGGATCCAGTGAGCTCTGAGACACGGCGATACTTGATCTCGTTTCCAGCAAAAGTCGTGTCGATTTCGGATGGATTTGGCGTGTGATCCATACTTTTCTTCGAGGCCCGACGTTTTTTCCAAAGAAAGAAGATGCCAAGTGCCGCAATGATGAAAACAGCCACGATACCAACTACAATTCCTGCAATGGCTCCTGATGACAGTTCACCCCCGTCATTGTTGTCTTGAGCCGTTGGTAGTGTATATGACCTATCGAAGATTGTGACTAGACTGGGTTTTGGCATTGGCTGTTCAAACACGGCAGGGGCGACGGTAAAATTCTGGTGTTCATAGTCGACGATAATGTATGCCTCTTGGAGGAAAGCGCGGCCGAGAACGAACTGTTCATTTTCTGATCGCCGAATGGGAAAGTAGCTCGTTTGGTTGGAAAAGAGTGGGAAATCTGCTTGCAGATCGAAAGCAGCATATGGTAGTACGATAGATACGAAATCGTTGCTGTCCGTGTCTGCGCTTGCACTGATCTTCATTATGACCTCAGCATTTGCGCGGAGATTGTTCGCATGCGAAGAAGTGTTGACGGTGAATAATTTGCTAGTTTCGTCATACCCCAGGCTGAAGTTTGAAACGAAGCTATCGATGATTTCGTCCGGCAGGATGAGGTACGGGAATGTCGAATCGATCGTGGCTGGGAACCCTCGTTGGGTGAAAGATATAGTGTTGGCTTCGACGTTTTGGTCGGGCTTATAAAGGATAGAATTGACACCAACAGCGAGTGAAGTGTTTTGGGCGCTTGGCATCGCGATGGATACGCTTTGGTCCGTCAACCGCGATCTGTCATATCCACCCAAAACCAAATTGCCCGGAACACCGTTATTGTTGTTGCCTGGTCTTCATTAGTTTTTATCCATGTATTTATGTATATTGTTCGCTAGAATCAAGACTCACGATAATACGCTCCGGCCGTATATCCAAAAGATCGACTAGCGATCCTATGCGCACTACCGTACATATTCTCGATGAAATTTGGCCTCGTTGCACCAGAGGCTCCGGTTCTTCCCACAGCCAGACCTAGGGATCCCAGATAGAAATTGCCGACTGTGTACTTGACAACATATTGATCAGAGAGGACTAGGCTTTGTGGTGAGGTTTCACCTAGACCAACTGAATCCACCCCCCATACCGCTGCGGGCTTTGTGCTATTGCCGTCGCTGTCCAACTGCAACTGGTCTATGTACCATGGTGGGAGTGGAATGTTGAATGTGCCTGCCGTTTGCCATTGTGATGATTTGCTGTCATCGAATCCTCGAGACTGACTACCTTCGAAAGGCATAATACCACGGCTTTCTGCACACGTTTCGTCCGAACACCATTCCGTCTGCTGCGGGACGAGAGTGGTCCCCAAGGACGTCGAGATGAGTACCCGGAAATTCTGGCCATTGCTTTGGTTCTTTCCGTCGTCTCCGATGTTTATAACGAACGTCGACCATTTTCCATCGTTGCCTTCGAACTTTCCACTTGGACTTAGGACATAGGGTGTGGGAAGGATGATCGGGTCTTTGCGTCTCCAGAAATACATGATGGCGAATGGAGCATAGCAAGCGAAGACAAGGTGAGGGGCAACCGCGTGATAACGAAGATTTGAAAACTGATAGAGGCGTAGTCCGTGAGACACACTGATACGATGTTGGCGCCTCGACTGACAAACGACAGCCTCGCTGGTAGGTCAGCTGCAGCCAATGGTGGGGAAACCCTCAGGATGAGCCGCGATTCTGTGATGCAGTGCACATCCACATTGAACAGGGAATAGACTCGACGTCCTTCACGGCCGTTCCTCGCAGTGTGTAATCATCGATTTGATCTTCCGCGGCATGGTGACAGGCGTGTCCAGCCCATTTGCTTCGTGTAAATAACGAACGTCCGCGCCCCATGCGGGGTGGTGGCACAGCATCTCAAGGGCGCCCTGACGTTGCATGTCGCCTGTGAAGATGCTAAGACGTGACTGGACGAGCGATACCGATGAAATGGCGCGGGCTGTGTGGCTTTTACCAGGTGTGTATCGAGGGACGCAGCAGGATTGCGAGTAAGAGTCTGGATGCTTACCTCTGTTGAGACAGGCCGCATGTCTCAAAGGGAGCACATTGATGGTCCATCAGAAGCATTGGGACAGTAGCGATTGGAGGTAGTCACAACCGCCTGAACCTCTTACTTACTCAGCCGTCCAATCCGGTCAACATTGCCCCACCATCCCGCACCGGATGAGCTTCGCCTCTCACTTGCATGCGCAACTCCTCACACCTCACACAGTGCTCGGATCACAAAAAAATGTATGCTACCGTGTACGACCGCTCTGAGAAGTCTCCTCTGGTATCGCACTTGTTGCGCGAAGCCCATGCGGACCAGACTCTCGATTCCAGTTGGTGTGAGGAAGGACCGCCCTTAAGTTATTCGCTCCCGCGTTGAGGTTCCCAGCCCCCAGAAATCGTGCCCATACCACCATTTCGCCGGGCGCCTAAGTTGATCATCATACTATATGGACTGCAGATCAAATTCCGTTCGAGGCAGGTCGCTAGCTCCATGCGGCTTCAATTGAGTCCATGCCAGCAATTGCCATGTGTTACCTCTTCGGTCAGACGTCGTTGAATCACGTCCCGCCTTACTTACGCATATGCAGTTTGTTCTCATAATGTGGGTCAGATGTGACGCTGTATCTTGGATCGCCGTTCAAGCCCTACCCTCAGCCCCTGCTTCCAAGGTTTTTTCACCATTAATTGTACTAGTCATCACTGCAAAGCGGTCTGGCCCCCCCTGATATCAGCTCGATGCTGCGCCTGTGTATTGGGCGTTTTCTAACGCCAGAAGGCCAGGCAAATCTCAGCCTCCGCTTGGATATCCTGCTTCCGGCCTTACACACCCTAGTGATTGAACACGGGCAAGGCTGTGTCATTTCAGCCTCTCTGGAGCAACCATAATCTACTCCCACATGCAGGCGCACCTAATAACTTCGTCATTGTATTGCACTTACTCGTCGCTGTCAGTCATCTCCTCTGATCCCTCAAATTGTCAGGCCATCTTCTGTAGCGAGGTATGTGATACTCCAATCGGTACTTCCCTTACGCACAATCGCATCATTGCTAGCGCCACTTGTAAAATATTGCATCTTATTTAGCTGTACTTCCACTGTATTTTGAAGGCCTTGTGTTCCCGCACAACAGTCTCAGCGATTGTGGCATATTGTATCACGTGGCTAACTCAATCAGCTCCAAACCGCCTGCCACTCGTTCAGTCGGCCCAAAAGTCTTTCGCTCAAAAATGCGCAATCATTGGCCCCTCCTTTTGGTGTTGATCGGGAGTGCTTACGCGCAAGAGGATGGTGGTGGATATGGAAGTCCACCCAAATCAACCAAATCTTCAGGGGGCTACGACGCAGCTCCTCCAGCATATTCAGCCCCTCCTCCAGTATACTCAGTCCCTCCTCCAGTGTATTCAGCATCTCCTCCAACACACGAAGCACCTCCTCCCACATATGGCGCACCTCTTCCGGGCACAATCACCTTGACTTCGACTAAGACAGTTACATTGTCCGAGTACTGCGCCGTACCACCTCCGGTAACCGTAACCCATGTGAAGAATGTTACAACCACGAAGACTATCACCTCTTCTGAGTATTGCGCGATACCGTCGCCAGTAACCGTGACTCGGATAAAGAACATCACGACAACCAAGGTATGTGTTTCCTGCGGCTCACGTTGGAATAGCTGCTCACTTTCCAAGACCGAACGGGAGACCATCACGAAGCCTGGGTTCAATGTCACAGAGGTACTAAACACCGCCGTGTTGATGAGGGCTGGCATTAATCAATTGAACAGACCAAGACAACCACCCAACATACAACCAAGCCCGGCGCGAATATTACACAGGTATTTCCTTCACATGATTTAGCCCTTGAATTTAGCTCATTTCCGGCAGTCTTACACTACCACGGAGTATATTACTGGCCCTATAACAACTGTCAACAACACTATTACAGAAGTCACTACCAAGGTAAGCTCAACCCATCTTATCCATGGGCTCGTGCTGACATTAGTAGACTATCACTTCAACACTCATTTCTGTATGTACTCCCCTTCCCGTCATTGACAATCCTCTTTGCTCTTTCCAGCTGTTCATTCAGCGATGCTTCCATACGACGAAGCTACATCTACTCCTTACATACCATCCTGTTTCCCCCAGCAAATCGAGACGTTCACGACTTTATTAACATCCTGCTAGCTCATCCCCAAAACTGAGTTTAGCTATCTGCCAACAACTGAATATCTTACCACATCGATACTGACAACAGAAACGGACCGAACCACTGAGACCGATGTGCTCACTACTTATAGCATTTGGACATCAACATATACTTCGGTAGCATATATCCGCTCTACATGGCAAACCGATTCCGTACTAACATCCTTTTCCCACACTAGATAACCATCGTCCCTACTACCCTTTATGAGGAAACCACGATAGCATGTAAGCAATGTTTTTCATTCCGTTAGCTTGTGTGGAGTTCACCACGCATATGCGAGGCTACGAGTGGATGAGTTCGCATGTAGTCAACACGTTGCAAAGCGCGTCTGCTTATGTTTCGATGTCGCCATCATCTTCTCGGATTTCATATTGCTTGTAAGGCTGACAGTCTGCAGTGCCTGGAACAACCTCGGTATCTACTCAGACAGTTGTATCGCGAATTTCGGAAACGATTACTATCACCGACTACATCTCGGTCATACAGACGATCCCAGGCCCCACGGTTTCGATTCCCGGCCCAACAGAGACTGCCACGCAAATTGTGACCTCTGATCGAACTGTTGAGCTCAGCATCCCAGGACCGACTCAAAACATCACGATACCCGGCCCGACCCAGGAAATTACTATTCCAGGTCCGACTCAAGAGATCACCGTTCCAGGACCGACACAAGAAATAACCATCCCGGGGCCGACTCAAGAGATTACGGTACCTGGCCCCACTCAGGAAATAACTATCCCGGGCCCGATTCAAGAAGTCACGATTCCCAATCCCACTCAGGAGATTACTATACCTGGTCCAACTCAAGAGGTGACTGTGCCCGGCCCAACCCAAGAAGTCACTATCCCAGGCCCAACCCAGACAATCGAAACGACTGAAACCCAATTCCAGACCTTGACACAAGTGGAGACCCAGTTCACGACATTGACTTTGCCGCCTCAGGTCATCATTAGTAATGTGACATTTCCTGGGCAGACATCAACAGTCTTCACACAACTCCCACCCACTACTGTGTGTCTCCGGTGCTTTCATATGTCACAATTCCTCAGGCTACGATAACTTCGTCAGTATCTCACACACAAACATTCCGAGACTTTACCAGCGGTCCAATTGTACCAGCACTTGACTCTCTCCGGAGGTCTTTCAATAGTGACAATCACCCAACCAGCGACTACCGTCTTTTCCACAAGAACAATACCTGCAGTAACCTCGACTATCGTAACTCAATTGCCCGGAAGTGCCTCAACGAGTACACTTCTATCGCTTATCACATTACCAGCTTCTACAATCTCGAGCACAGTCCTTATACCTGGCGCTACATCGCTTCTGACTACAACTCTACCCGCAACAACTACGATATCAACTGTGTTCGTTACCCGGTCTATCGTTACTACGTTAGTGTTGCCGACTACTGTGGTGCCAACATCCGCTCCCATCTCATCTTCCACTCCTCCCGCATCTGTATCCTGCGCGAGTGAATGTCAGATAGATGTTACGGCGAGCCGATTGGAATATCCCGGAGTAGTAGTTACATCCACTGCCTCACAGCCGCTTGTTACTCTCGAGATCTATACCGATAGCGCTGGCAATGATGTCAGCTCTTCTCTACGCGTCAATCAACTCCCCTCTCAGGCGCCGCCTATCATCACGTGGAGCTATTCCGGCGTAGTATTGACCTACCCTACGACCTATGCTGCTTATGAAACCTTCAGTCACCTGGAAGTCGAGCCTATAGGAACCGCTTGCGCCACGGATACATCCACATTGACTCTGCCGTCTCCCACAAATTATCCATCCCTCATCGTTCCCTTGAGCGAAGTTACAGATACAGCATTTGTAGCTCCGACAGTGGTTAGTTATCTCAATGCTCAGCCGACTGTCATCGCGCAACTTGGTCAGTCGATTGGCCCAGGCGCGTGTGACCCCCTTAGCGGCAGTACCGTTGATGGTATTCAATCTAACCTTGGAACTACAACCTATGTCACAACCGCACCTGCGGCGGGTACCATAATTCGCCGTCAGCCTACTGCGCAGCTCGTACTCCAGCCAACATCTGATGTACCTCAGACAAGTGCAGGACCCACATCAAGCGCAGCCCCTTCTAGCCCGCCTCCTCCTCCACCACCAAGTTCAAGTAAGCCAGCTCCTCCTCCTTCTTTAAGTACGGTTCCAGCGCCTACCAGTTTGCCACCACCCCTTCTCCCACCAAGTTCAAGTACGGTTGCTCCTCCTCCCCCTTCCAGCTCGCCAGCTCCGCCGTCTCCACCGCCAAGCAGCTCTGCACTCCTGCCAACCTCCGCACCAGTCTCGAGTGTGATTCCAGAGCCTAGTAGTGGGGCTCCTCCTGC